GAGAAACACAGAAAAGTAAGCTTAACTGAAATTGAAAAAAATATGCTACCAAGCAGAAGGCAAAGTCGAAACGTTCCTACGTGTGCTCTGTTGTGTCTGCTGAGACCATGTCTACCGTATGGAAAAATGAGATGTAATGGGAATCATAGCCACCTGAGATAGCTTGAATTCGCCTAGCGTCGATTCAAGCTCCGTTACCATCAGTCATCGGTCTCCAAGTGATGTCATGCAACGTTGCGTGATATCAGTAAGCGTAGATGAGACACTCAATCCACCCTGCATTTAAGTCTTAAACAACGGTTTTCATTGTGCGCATATTTTCTAGTTAAAAAAACACAGAGATTATCACTATGACTGTAAACCACCTATTAAGTATCGATTAAATTTCTCACCCCATGAAAGCGAGTGGTATTCACATTTTGTTTAACAGTGCTGTGGCTTGTGATAAGATCATTTATTGTCACGTATTCACATTTTTTTTGTATCTGACAGGATAAATCCAGGAAGAGATAGGAAGTTCAAAGTTGAGGAATATCTGAGATGTCATATTAGTAAGTTTTAGCCAGTGAAGCTATAATATTTATGATTAACTAAAATAGTAACAGAGGTAGTGTAGAATAACACCACAATCCAGCCAGGGCCATAGTGTAGAAGTAGCCTGCTTCCTTGATGAAGACAATTGAATTACATAGGCTATAGGTTAGGTGGAAGTGGTCAGCAAGTATACACACCGGTGGCCTGATCGAGAAATTTGCACTTGATACGCAACGTCATTCAAAGATTGAAAACACGATTTAATAGATTTTGTTTATTGTTAATTTAATTCAAAATTGGAGGTAAATGATGTGAGGAAAAAAACAAAACAAACGAACAAAAACCAATGAAAATATCTAAATGCTTGATTTGATGCCACATTCTTTTCAGCAGCAAGTAGTGGTTCTGCAATTTAAAAGAAGTAGTAACAGCCATTATGCTTAAAAAGTAGTTTTAATTTTTCCCTGTATCTTTCTTTTTGAGTAAATATAATTTTAATACCCACTGTAGTCATTCGCTGAGGTTTTGATTGAGGACCGAATTGATGAGTCCACACCTACTACAACTGCTAATTTGAATTGACTTCCAGTTCAGCTTACTTAAACCACCAGAAGTGAAAAAAAAAAATTAGAGTGATTCAGCCTACTGAAGATTTGACAAATAGACGTCAGGATACTATTATGTTGCCGTGAGAGGGATTTTCTCCCCCACCCCTCTCTCGGAATTAACATGACATAGGTCGGAAAATTGCATCATCTAATCACTCTCTATTGTCTACAATTTTCTTCCGATGTATTCTAGAAAATATGCCTACAAATACGATAATTTAGTAGTGCTTGCCTATTTTTTCGTCCTCTTTGTTTTGGCGCGTCCTTCTCCCGCTTTTCCACCCGCTTTTCTCTTTCTGCTTACGGTGATCTGTTTGTAAAGTAGCAGAGGGTAATGATTACAACCTGTTAATGTTCACATCATTTTTAAGAAAAACATTCGTTATTGTCAAAGCCACAATTCTGTTATCTGCATCTCAGATGTATAATATGTGTCCGTAAGAGTCAAGACCAACATGGCACAGGTTACTATAGAGATTAAGTTGATATTTAAATTTGATTTAATCTGTTATTTTATAGTATCTTTGTGCGGCCCGTGCTGGCTAATAATCCGGCAACATACTGTTGCACACAAGAGGTACCCTGGGTGTTTATTCTTTCTTATCGTCGAGCGGTTATAGTTACCTCGACTTCTCTTTCTTCTCTCGATACGAGGAGTCTACTCAACTCCACAGAAGAGGTAGACTGCGCTGTGGCAACTTGGCTAACAGTATTTGCCAGGGCATCCACGTTCCATTTTTTAGCTCTGTGTGGCTGCTCATGGCGATTCCTCAGCCTCGTTATGAACTCTCTCTACCATACTATTTCTGAGTCTTGCAATTTCATGGCGTATTTTGGGAGGTCCATTTCAAGCTTGTCAAGGTACACGCCATCGTGACTGTTCGGTTTGACAAGCTTGGGACCTCCTCTTAATATGGGCGAGATGAGATGTATCCCGCCATCAGGCCGCCAGACAGCTGAGGTGGACCACTTCTCGTAAAACAGCTTGGAGTTACCGTTGTCGTTTTGAATTTTGAAAACGGCTTGGTGGATGTGGCCTGATATGTAATTCATGGAGTTCTCCATCCACGCTTTGACCTCGAACACAAATGACAATTCCTCTACTAATACAGAAGGGGTGTATGATACTTTAATCTTCAATGCCTTTAACGTATGGGCATCGTTCTTGGCAAGTCTTCTTGCTACAAATGAAAACATCTAATCGATGTTTTCATGTGTATGACCAACCACTAAGAAAGGTATTTTGATCTATCAAAGAGTAAAACATGTGATTTAGTTTGTTAACCCCAGTTCTGAATGAATCATAGTCAATCATGGGTTGCTGTCATTTCAATTACTAAGAGTAATATCGCCTGCAAAAAATGAAACAAAATAGTGAGCCAACTAAAGTTAAAGAGATCATCGGTCAGTAAACCAGGACTTAAAGGTGGTGACGAACGTCTTGCGAAAAAGAGGAATATTTGATTCTCGTTGAACTTATTTTAAAAATTTGTATTAGGTTAAAAATGATATTAGGCTGTGACTCATCTCTATCTACAGCTGAAATTATTTTTGAGAGATAAGACGATTTGCCCGATTTGATAACTCACCTTCTCAAAAATGTTCCTCTCGACCAATAAACTCAGAAAACTTAAGACATAACGATTTTTGTTCTCCCTCCAACAGTTGTCCATCTGGAGGTACAGGACAGGTGGCAGATACCCTTGGTAAAAGAGTACCGAAAAAATGAATTAAAAATGATCAACAAGAAGGTAGCGAGCGAAACACTGCGACGCATTGCATTTAAAACTATAATAGTTTTAAACTTTTCTTCTATGTAATGCATTTTAATTTTGTCAACACTATAGAAGTCATTCAATTTTGAATGACGTCTTTAATTCATCATCCAATTTGCAGTGACCCTGTTCAGTAATATATCGCTGATAACGTCAAAATGCGGTAAAAAGTCAATGTGGCGCACGCAGTGCAGCCGAGTGTGTTATGTCTTTACCACATGGTGACGTCCTCTGTGATTCATTACGAAAGAGATGCACAGCAAAACAGAATCTTTTTCTTTTACGTAGTAAGGGGCAAAACAATATGCATACTGATGTTAGGCTCTGCACAAAGGCAACTTGTGGTCCATCGGTTAAACTTACCGATCTCTTGATGTGCAACAGTCTCCAGCATGACACTAATGGTAAAATTAGAATCATGAGGGTACTGGCATAAATCAAGAATCGCATGGGCTTCTTGTTTCTGGTTGACCAGAACACCTGTGATATGCGTTTTTTGTTTCCATGCACCTCCGTTTACCTGATGAGAATACGTAACAATGAAATGTAATTATGTCAAAACATCTAATTAAGAATTGATGTTCATACCTTTTAGCGTCAGCCAAATCCTTATGCAAGTACGGCGAGAGTTGTGTCAATATGATATAGTGCAATGTTGATGTTTGTGAGGAACAACCCAACGTCTAATTTGCTTAATGTCAATTTTTTTCGCAATGACGACCTTATAACCGGACCATTTAAAATTCGGAAACATTGCAATATATATTTAATACATGTATATATATTTAATACAAGTACAATATATATGTACAATATATATTTAATACATGTACAAGTAGCATTGATTTTACCTTTGTACTTGTAGTAAAATGTAGCAAGTTGTGTTTTGCTTGGTCCATTCCATCAATGATAAGGGACAAGAACTATTTTGGGTTCACTCTTGCTTTAATGTTATGTTTGTAGTACTTGTTCCTTTCCGTCCTTGAGAAAATATAAAAATGATTTGATATAGATGCAACGTTCATATTTAATCGTTAAGATTTTAATTCACAGGGCATGGTGTGGCATGGTCTGTTGGTGTTGTAATTAATGTTAAACAGTTTTTGTTTTATTCTGAAGCATACTAATGAGGATTTTGTGACACCTGTCAATGAATATGTAATTTCAACTTACATCTGCTGAGTAAAGTGAAGTTTCCTCGTCATTCTCAAGTGATTGCGCTGCTCTTGAACTTGCAGCTTACTCAATTATGCTTTTAACTGTTCACAAATTGTGCACTTTGTAAACCGACTTTGCTGCAAAGCGGAGAAAGCAAACAATTTTTCAAATTGTTTTATTCTTAATAAGACTACAGGACTGTAAGAGTGACTGCCATTTCAGTCGCTTTGATCATCGACAATTATTCCTACCTTTGGTATATAAACATCTGGAAAGTTCACTTTCCACATTTTGTATAAGAGGTGCACGAGTGAAAGTGTGGGGTTGTCCCCCATTTCCTCCTTGTACAATGTATACCCTTCATTTTTCGTCAGGCAGGACGGTAATTGCCTTGAGGAGGAGTTTGGCATTTGTTCCGCATTTTTTGAGAATCCTCTGAACCACTTTAAAGTCAGGTTGAAGGCCAGAGATTTCTTTCTACTCTGCTGTGTTTCAGGCTGAGTACACTGGCTCCCTTTTTTCAATCGCTCATTTTAACTGAAAGAAATGCAAAACCATCGATAAGTCAGCTGATTAATGTTTTTATTATAAATATAATCTCAAAGGAAACATGCCCAAGAGAGTGTAAGGATTAGTGAGCTAAAAAGGCTGTCTAAAGTTCCACTGAGGCTAATAGTAATACATTGTCCTATTCACCCCAAAGTTTGCAAATAACAACACCGCCAATGATATACTTAACGAAAATGAATTGTAAATTGCTTACCTTGAAATGGAGAACCCGTGGATGGTACACCATGCCTTTGAAAAAACGGTTTCTAAGACGTCATTCAACCGTAGACGGCCATCACTTCTGCTGGCAATGGCGTAGTTATAACTTCGTTTCTCTCTTGGATGGTCTTCGACCAAAATTCCTCCCTTTTTTTCGTAACGTACTGAACTGGAATATCTCCTATGCACTTCCTCCTACAACAACCTTGATCTATTTCACGCACTACAGAGGAGGCCTCAGTCTTTTCCTTTGCTTTCAGTAATCTCCCTGTGTCTCAAAAGTAGTAACATACGACTGATGAAATATTAAAACGTTTCGGAAAGAAATTTTTTGAAAACAAATGTTGCTCTGGAAATTTCTTTCTAACTTAAGTACTTTTGAACTATGCTTGGGTTTGGACGAGGTGTTACGAAACATTGGATACCCAGGTTTATACGTTTTTACAAGGTTCTTATTACAAAAATAGTGACAACATGGCAGCAATACTCGCGTTTTTCTTTGTAATCTTTATGGCTCTTTTCCTTTGAAAAAGAAAATCCAATTATTTAAACGAATTGCTCTGGTATGTTGAGCACAATATTTAGCGGCTAGTCATTTGTCGCGCGCCCTTGGACGATTATTATGTAATGCGTGATGTCTCCATAAGAAAGCCCCAGTTTAGGAAGGAAGTTATCTTCTATCGGAAGCTTCGGTCTCTTGACATGGAGTCGTTTCTTAGTGATGTTGCTGACTGCCCTCTTCTCATCCATCCATCCAGCGATCTCGATCATCTAGTTCAACAGTATGACACCTTATTAAGATCAATAATGGACAAGCATGCTCCTGTCAAGCGCCGAGTTGTTACTATTAGGCCTGCTGCTCCGTGGTACACTAATGAGGTATCTGTAGAGAAGCGTAAGCGACGACGCCTTGAAAGAAAATGGCGAAGAACCAGGCTGCAGGCTGATCGACAAGAATATAATCGTCAGTGCTGTGTTGTGAATAATTTGATCAAGTCGTTGAAATCCTCTTACTACACTACCATCATTACTGAAAACTCAAGTGATCAACGGGTTTTGTTTAATACAGTATCAAAACTACTACAAAAGCAATCAACTGCATGGTATCCATCTTCTTGTAGTGATGCACTAGCTAATTCTTTCGCTGATTACTTCATTGACAAGATTGATCGTATCCATGCCACACTAATAGAGAAGAATTCTGCGCAAGGTAATGATGCTAATGAAGTGACTCTTGGTAACTACTGTGATGTTCAGAGATGTTCGTGATCATCATAAACTGGATATGGATAAACTGTTGAAGTTTCATAACTGGGACAATGTTTATCAATGCGGAGATGTGAATGGAAAACTTAATCTTTTTTGTACCAAGATTAAGACCATATTTGATGAGTGTTTTCCGGGTATATCAGTACGTGTGTCTAATAGGGACCCTCCGTTCTTTTCTCCTCTAATCAAACATCTACTGGACCAACGGCGAAAATTGATTCGGCGAAGTAACATGTCAGGAAATTCTGTTTCGATTGAGATCCAAACTCTTCAAGAGAAAATCAACAAGTTGATCAGAGATAATCAAGTTCGAGCAGTTAAAGGGAATTTTGAGAAACATAGTGCAGGATCCAAATCTTGGTGGTCAACAGTCAATTCCCTGACAGGAAGAAAGTCTACCAACTCGCAAGTAAGCTCAATTATCTCCCCGAGCGAGATCAATAATTTTTTCTGTTCCATTAACACTGATCCCCTTTATAAACCCATTGACACTGTCACTATCCCGGAATCAAGCGAGATGCCTGTTTTAACGGTCTCCAGTGTTACCAGGAGTCTACTGAAATTAAAAAGAACTGCCTCTGGTCCAGATGGAATCCCGTACTGGTTTTGGAAAGAGTTTGCGTACGACCTCGCTCCTGTTGTTACCCATATTTTCAACTGTTCTTTGGAAAATCACATTGTGCCTGATCTTTGGAAATTGGCCGACATAACTCCCTTGCCTAAAGAGCCCAACTTTAAAAATTGCACACAGTTGCGGCCTATTTCACTGACTAATGTAATAATGAGGGTTTTTGAACGTCTTGTATACAGACAAGAATTATCTCAATATATGAAGAACTTCATTAGCTTCGACCAGTTTGCATACCGCAAAGGCCACAATACGACAATGGCCTTAATTAAGTGTCAATATGCTTGGCTGAAATGGCTTGAGTCGGGTTTTGATTGTGTTAGAATCTTCTCTTTTGATTTCAGCAAAGCTTTTGATTCGGTCCCTCATGATATCCTCTGCTCTAAGTTGAAAACACTTGATATAAATCCATACGTGACCAATTGGATTATTAGTTTTTTACAGAACAGGAAACAAAGAGTTGTTGTTGATGCCATTGTCACGGACTATGTAAATATCAATAGAGGTGTCCCTCAGGGGACAGTTTTAGGCCCTATACTATTTTCTATTATGGTCAATGATATTAAGGCCATTCTACCAAATCAGAATTTACTTGTGAAATATGCTGATGATTTAACATTAAGTATTCCAGTAAAATCGCTGGCTAATAACGGCAATTTAGCAGCTGAGGAGGTCCGATCGATCGTCACATGGACATCTGCTAATCGTATGCAACTAAACTTCAAGAAAACGTGGGAGATGCTTCTTAGAGGCAAATCCAAATCCACTAAGGCCTTACCTGCTCCTCTGGTTTCTATAGAGCGTAAACCATGTCTGAAGTTGTTGGGTGTAACTTTTCAATCTGATCCGTGTAACTGGGACTTACATTTTGATAATATTATATCGAAAGCCAGTAGTCGTCTGTACATCTTACGTGTTTGTAAATTCTATGGACTGCCGCTGGATCATCTTCATCTTCTCTTTATCAGTCTTATTCTACCTATATTTACATATGCTGTAGAAGTATGGGGCTGCGTGTATTATCATAAGTATCTGAGTCGCATAGACAGGCTGTTCAAGAGAGCTTTTAAGCTTGGCTACTGTAAAGAGCTTTTTTCGATTGAAAATATTATCATTCTAAAAGATAAGAAGTTGTGGGCCAAGATCACCGACAGCGATTTTCCAACAGCTTTAGATGACCTTTTGCCACCAGAGCGAACAATGGATACGCTACGTAAGAGGCGCCATAATTATATTCTCCCGCTTGTCAGAACTGAACGTTTCAAAAGGACCTTTATTAATAGATGTTTGTTCTCTTATTAGTTATTCAGTTAGTAATTTAGTTAGTTTATTAGTTTTATACTTGCTGATTTCATACCATTGTAACTAAACACGTTTGTTGTTTAGAGTGCTTAATAAAGACTTATTATTAATGTAACTCTGTGTTTTCAGACTTTAAAGAAACATAATGCTGATTTCACTAAATATGAAAGTTTTTGACCTATTTCTAATTTGAAGTTTGTGTCCAAGCTTGTGGAAAAAGCTGTATGTGTCCAGCTTACAGACTATATTACATCTAATGGTCTTTCGGAAACGTTTCAATCCGCATACAAGTCATTTCACTCCACTGAAACGGCTCTACTGAGGGTTCAAAATGACATTCTTTGTGCTTTAGATCGTAATGAGTCGGTCATACTGGTACTTTTGGATCTGTCGGCGGCGTTTGATACAGTGGACCATACTCTTCTAGTGACAAGGCTGTCTACTTGTTTTGGTTTTCAAGGAACTGTGCTTAAGTGGCTGAAATCATACCTGTCTTCACGTAAGCTGTTTGTTAAAGTTGGGAATAGTCATTCTTCACAACGTGCATTGAAGTGTGGTGTCCCTCAGGGATCAGTTCTGGGCCCTTTGTTGTATTTGTTATACACATCACCTATTGCGGACATAATAAATGATCATGGACTATCATACCATCTATATGCTGACGACACCCAATTATATATTACCTTTAAATCTACCAGCTTGAATGACATCCAACAAGTGAAGTTGAGAGTGGAATGCTGTGTGAGGGACATTGATGAATGAATGATAAGAAACTATCTTAAACTAAACCAGGACAAAACGGACCTTGTAGTCATCGGTTCCAGATTCCATCCCATGCCTGATATCGGTCACATTACTGTTGGTTCTGAGTGCATTGCACCTCGTGACTCTGTTCGTAATTTAGGGGTTCAGTTTGATAGCATATTTAGTTTTGAGGAGCACATTAAGAACATTTGTAAATCATCATTCTATCATTTGAGAAATATTGCTAAAATTCGCAAGTACTTAAGCCAAGATACATGTAAAATCTTAGTCCATGCATTTATTAGTTCGAAACTCGATCACTGTAATTCCTTATTACATGGCCTTCCTAAGTATCTGTTAGCTAGACTACAGGCAGTTCAGAATGCTGCAGCTCGTGTTGTCACATTGACACCAAGGCATGTTCATATAACTCCTATTTTAATTAATCTTCATTGGTTACCAGTTGAGTTTAGAATAACTTTTAAAGTCCTTTTATTGGTATACAAGGCCCTTCATGGCCTTGCACCTTCTTATATTTCTGACCTTTTGAATTTTAAAACATACTCTAGGTCATTGCGTTCTTCATGTAAAGAATATTTAGTGGTTCCAAGAAGTAGATTGAAAACATATGGAGACAGAGCTTTCTCTATTGCAGGACCTAAATTGTGGAACGATTTACCTCTAGAGATTAGGAAATGTGCTTCAGTGGCAACTTTTAAGCAATCCCTTAAAACTTTTTTATTTATGTTAGCATATAGGTTATGAGATTCCTTTTGTTTTGAGATGTTTTTGATTTATATAGTAGATAACTTAGGCTATATTTGAATTATATTGTATATTGTAGATATTTTATATTTTATATTTTTTATATTTTATTTTGTAATTAGGTAGCGCTTTGGACAATTATTGGATTTTAGCGCTATATAAATAAAATTATTATTATTATTATTATTATTATTATTATTGTTAAGCCAATCTAAGATGCGCCCTTAAGCGGTAAAACATTCACGTGCGCGCAAAAACGATTATTAAGCTCAACTGAATTCGGGGAACACAATCAAAGACTCACTTTGTTACAGCGAGTAGACCAAGGTTTTGTTTGAACTTTTCTTGTTAGAAATACGTCGTTAAGAACGAAAAGTTTAAAATAGGAAAGACATTTCAAAAAAAAAAATCAGTGGAACAGCTAAAAGTCTCGTTGTGATTAGGATATAACATTTTTCTTAGAAACAAAGGCAAAGGACGTGAGCGCTCAAACGATTATCAATCTTTTCTAAACTTTGAGTGATCTTGGATGCGATTCACTACCCGCGCTGTTCACGAGACTGCAAAAATCTTAGTTGAGAATTACATGACATTACAAGGAGAAGACTAGCCTGATTTATTTTCCCCTTTTAATCCTTCCAAAAGGTAGTATGATCCGATTCGACAAACTGAAAAGGACTACCGTCCACCTCACTCACATCACTGAACTGCAATTGGAATAAAATAAACATTTAACCCTAATACAAATTAGTTCATACCTTAAATAGGAAAAAAAATCAGAGGTTTTGATACTCTCCTGTAACGAATTATCTTCCGGTTTTTCGAGCGCGCTTTTAGCAGCTCTAACTTCTCCCGAGTGTATATTGTTTACGTCTATCTGTCTTTTATTAATGTTAGATATTAAAATCGTAATCATAACCATCTCACATCGCTATGAAGATATTGTTTACCTCAAAATCATCGTCCGTCTCGCTTTCATTACTCATTTTTCAGTTCATTTTTCAGTTCAGTTTACCCGTAGTTTCGCCTCTGTGTCACTTGAAGGGGAAACGACGAAAAGCGAGATCTTTGCTTGAAACCAGTTCATATTGTTTCAAAACAGGTCAAGTTTTTTAGCCGTTGCAACCAATTATATGATGACTTTTATGAATGATTGACTGCGCGCATGGTTGTGCTAGCTATTGTTCTGCTCGCTATTGTTTTGCAAAGGCTGCAGTAATGGCACAACTGCCAAATCTCTCGCCATTCTTTGACGATTTCGACAAAAGAATGATAGATTTAAGTAGCGAGCATGTGTCCGAAACAGAGAGTGACAAGGAGGAGAGGAGGGTGGCGGTGGACCTCAAGGGTGTCGAACAGACGGCGAAAAAAAAAAAATGTAGATGTAAAAGGAGGCGTGCTGGCGATCGCTCGGGCCGCCAAATGGCCCTTAGAGCATTAGAAAAAGAGAAAAAGGGGCGAACAAACGAAGAAATTGTGAGTGAAGCCTGCCCAGAACCTGCCTCGTTTTTCAGAGGCGATAGCGGAGACCCATTGTGTCCTCGATAGATTCAAACAAGACCTGGAGAGTCCAACCACAGAAGATGAGGCCTCCGCCATGAGAATTTATATTTTGAGGAAAATACAATATTTCTTCAAAGGAGAGATTTTGTTTTTATTTTTAAGTGCCTGCAGCTAGTCCCATTTTCTAACTTTTTTCTGTAATTTCTTGAAAGAAATTTTAAATTAAACGGAAAGGTAGAATGGGAGGTATGTGTAAGCGAGAATTCTTCCTAATGATTTCGACAGTTGGGATCTCTTCTTTTCTTTCCTTTAAAAATTGTTGTGGACTAGTTCTTAAAGTGCGAGGAATTGTAAATTTAAAGAAATCTAGAGAATTCAGCCACCCAGACAAAATGGCGCCACCATAAATTTTCCGTGGTCAATTAAACGGCACGACCTTAGATGTTTATTTCCCTTGCGCAAAATAACTGTCCATTGGTGGGAAAAGCCCTTCTCCACTTCTCTTTCTTTCTTAGTTAGTTTGTTTAGTTGCGCTACTCATCCAAGATTCTAATTTTGAATCAGAGTTTTATTTGTTGATTGATTTCTTAATTCTATTGGTTATATTTCTCTTCTCAATTCCGTAAAATATGAGAAACGACTATATGTAGGGAAAATTTAAATACAAAAATTCACACCACGAAAAGTAATTAATTTACTCCCTCATCATGCCTTTCTTGATGTCAATCACATCATTAATTGAAGCCTCGATGTCGTTAGCTTAGGAACCGAGCGTATCTGATGGTTTTGTTGAATTGAATTCTTTGAAGATATTTTGCAATTTCCATTGCCGAGGCATTATGTTTACGATACGTTCAGGTTTACCAAGTTTGCATTTGAAGGACTTCTTCTTTGCTAACTGTGAAAACACTCTGATGCACAGTTTTCTTCACCTTAATTTGCTTCATGGATTTCGAAAACATCTCATTATGTTGAAAATGGAAATCGCCATCTTTCTTTGTATCCTTTTATAATGTTGAAAATTGAAAATGGCTTAGTAAGCATAGAAAAATTGTTAGCTTGTCATCTTGTGTGGAGCTTTAGAAACGACACGAGTGCGGATCAAAACTGAGCCGTTTACGTAAAGGAAATCTTTGACAAATATATTAGTAACAGATGACCATAGAACGAACAGCCATTGCAGATGAGGAATAATGAAACAACGTTACAAAATGGATATGATCGTACGTCGCATGAGTTACATTAGCCACCAGAATATTTGATAATGATCTCGTACTTTTTATTCAGCTTGAGAGATGAGCTTCACTTGGACTATTCAAAAATATTTTAATATTCAGTGGAAGAAGGAAGGCTGTAACTAATTTCTTGCTTTATGATTATTTTGCAGGATGGCGGTAACTCCATAGTAACCAACATTTTTAAAGTGGCGTTGCTCCCTCAAGAAATTTTTCCTAAGGCCCTAAAAATCTGCCAACTGTATGAAGATGGAGAGCTTGCACTTCAGTTATTGTGCAAAAGTTCATTCTGCACAATTTTTCCTACAGGACACCAGAAAAAAAGTAATAGCAAAGTTGGATGGTGCTAAGAAGGCGATTGGATTTTAATGTCTATATTGATGATTTATGAGCACTGAATAGTTTCAACTAATACAAGAGCAACTCATTGAATACAACTCTACAATGAAGCTAAACCTACAAGACACACTACTCCTAAAAGATTGGCATAGAGGAGCTTGATTTTTATTTAATCCTACTGATGTTTCTGTTGTCTGAGATCAAATTGGGTAAGCATAATATTGACAATTCCTATTTTTTTTTAATTTTAAAATCATCCCCTCTAAAAAAGACAATTATATATACATTTAAGGATATGTATGAGCTAGATTTAGGAATAAATTGGGTTTCTTCTTCTTATTAACCATTATTGGTGTCTTCATTAACAGCCTAATTTATCTTTCAGGAGGTCAAAGATGGTAAAGAAACCATAGAAAAAATTACGCAAAGAAATTAAGGTATTACACTACTTTGCTTACTCTGGCAAAATCCAATTTCTGATGGATTTGACGCCATTTTTTAGTCATTTATCACTAGCTCACTAGTTTGCTATAGCTTTGACATCAGTATTGGTGGATTATGTAGGTAGAGAATTAAAGTGTTATCTTTTGTTTGTTCTTGAGTTATATATTGATCAATTTACATTAAATGATTTTTAATGAGATAGATGGGTATGAAAATATCGTCATTTCAGACTTAAACAGTCACCACCATGTAGATAACCGTAACCAGGTTCCAATTCACTTGCTGAAATGTTGCTATCTTTCCAAAATATTATCAAAGGATTTAAGAGTCGAAAGAAGAGAATGTGAAGAGTTTAAAAGTGAGGTGGTCTGGTTAAAGAAGGTAATTTTATCTTCAAATAAAACAATTAAGTTAGAACTTTGGCTGAATTTTCCCTCTTTGGGCACTATTGCGCAAAGGGATTAATTGCCTCACGCCACGCGACACACCTTTGTCTATTCTTATTGTTAACAGTATTAGGTTTCAGTTTTGTTACAGCTCTCGTAGCGTGAACAGTGTTTTGTCAAGTGGCGTTGTTTTTCGCCACTTACGTCCTCGGATGATACCTTGTGTAAGTGTACTTCGGATATCTTGCTGGTAAAAAATAGCACGTGTTTTGGGGCTTGCAATAAAGAAGTCGGTCTTTCGTGAACACGCGCTTCGAGTTTACTTCATTGTGACCCCGACGTGAAATATACAAAGAACAAGGACCACGAAGAAACAGTTTGGAGCCTTCGTGGATACTCCAGGAAAAAGATTCGAATTGACACGGTGAACGATAACAGTAAACCAAGCCAGCCGCCATCTTGGATTTTGGAAAGTGCCACGAATTTTTCTTCACCAAAGCCATCCTAGCACAGGTCAGCGAGTTTAGATTACTCATTAGCTTATTGAGAACGCTTATTGAGAACGCTTATTGAGAACAGTGATCCTGTCCAGTAGAGCCCCGGAACGGACAACATAGTCAGTGAAATACGGTATAACGAAGAAAAACGCCGATCGATCGTGGTAGCTGATTTACACAGGCAGTTCAGTCACCATGCCGAAACTGACGCCTAACGGAGGACGTGACAAGCTGCAATCGAGCAAGCCGCTAGAGCAAGGCCACATGGAGTTGAAATGCCCAAGAGGTTGGATTTCACTTCTCAAAAGATACACCAAGAATACTTATGCTTCAAGACTTTAGCAAAAAAGGTTTTAGAATGCTATGGCAGGCTTGAGGACAATGTTAAAGTGAACAGAGTGCTAATGTGGATGGGGCCAGAGGCATGCATCAAACACGAGCTACACCCATTCCCCCCGGAGACAAGGAAAAATTCACCCCGCTGTGGAACTTCTTTGACAATTTGTGTTCCACGAAGGAAGGTTGCCAAGGCTCGTGGAGCACCGCGAGAATGACACTGAATTTCATGGAACAGGAGAAAGGAGAGTAAGTGGACATGTTTTACGGACGAATACGTGATGTCCTCCACCAGTGCGAGTACGATCCCGTGATACCAAAAGTCCTTGAGGCGGAAACCCTGAAATTTGGCTTGACGAACACAAAAATTATAGAGAAAGTCTATGCATTACAAAAAGATGCAGATGCCAGCCGTGTTCTTGACACTGCCAGAGCTGAGGAACAAGCTCAGACACTCATACGTGAAGTAGAAAAGATTAGGAGGGACTACAACCTGGTAGAAACAAAAAGTGCAGAAGAGCTCAGACAACAAAAGAAGTCCTTTAGCAAAAAGTCCAAGACTTCCAGTGATGGGCGCACAAAAAACCAATACGACTGCAAAATATGTGGACGCAAACAGTGCCCTGCCTATGGGAAAGAATGCAAAAAGAAGGGCCAGTTTGCTAAGCAGTGCCACAGCAAGGCAATCGCCAATGCTTCCAGCAAGTGATTTGGCCAACAGAAACAAATACTGGGACCCACGAAAAAGTTTTGCGAAGCAATTGCAGACTCCAGAGATAGCGAGGCAGACTTCTCAGACACTGACGAAGTGACAGTGCAAGTTGACTCTATAGAAGCAAAGACTGAAGAAACTAAGTCTACCAAGACACATTTTGGCAAGAAACTGCCCAAACACGTCACCAAGGACTGCCATGGCCCCTATGACATGACTGAGGTCAAAGATGGTACTGTGGAGGAAAAAGAAGTTACCCCAGCACCAGACCAATACTCAGCAAAATCCAGGTATTCTCTAAAGGTGAAGAAGCCTATCAAGATTAAGGATACAAACCAAGTCATTAAGGATGCTAATGACGTAATTCGAAGGTGTTGGAAAGCTAAAAGGCTACCAATACTGGATCGAGATAGATGAAAAAGTCCCACCAGTGGTCAGTCACAGATACAGTGTAACCCCAAAAATGCAGGAGCCTCTGAAGAATAACTTAGACTGGATGGTGGGCATTGATATTATCAAGAAGCAAGAAGACACAACACCATGGGTAAGCAACGTACTGTGTACACCCAATGGACATCAGGGTATGCCTCAATCCAAAGCTGCTCAACAAAGCAGTGAAGAGGCCACACCATTATGCACCGACAATGGAAGGTATATTACAAAAACTACACGGTTGCAAGTATTTCTCGGCCCTTGACCAGTAGTCTGGCTATTGGAATATGGAAGTACATCCAGACAGCGTACCCCTACTCACCCTCAATACGCCCTTTGGAGGATATGCATACAAAGGCTTCTATTTGGGATTGTGAGTAGCCAGGACATATTCAAGCGAGCCTTTGATGAAACATTCAATGACATCCCTGATGTCTATTGCATTGCAGATGATGTCCTAAAAGCTGCAAGGACAAGGGAGGAACATGAATTGGCAGTTAACAAAATCATCCAACAATGTCAAGACTCAGGTTTCAGGCTGAATCCAAAGAAAGCAAAGATCCTATTAGAGGAAATAAATTACTTCGGCCATACCCTATCGAAGAAAAGATTAAAATCACACATGAAGAAAATCCAAGGGATAGAGCAGTTGGCTATGCCAAGGAACTAGCGGGAACTACAGTCACTGCTAGGAATGTTCAACTACCTGGGAAAGTTTATACCCAACCTGGCTGCCAAGATGAAGGACCTCCACGCTCTGATAAGGAAAATGCAGAATTTGCGTGGGAAGACACACACACCAAGATACTAGAAGCAAGGCCGAGGTCAAAGATAACACAACACTGCAATACTTTGACCCACAGAAAGAAATCACTATTGAATGTGATGAGGGCCTGGGTGCATGTCTACTCCAAGACAGCAAGGCAGTCAACTTCTCATCTAGAGGCTTGATTGACGCGGAAACGAGATACTGTAACCTGGAACGCGAGATGCTTGCTGTTGCCTGGGCAGTTAATCACTACCGACAGTATGTGTATGGACGAAGATTCAAGATAGTCAGTGACCACACTCCATTACAACAGATCATTAAGAAAGACATCAGAGACACAAGCACCCGGCTGCAACAACTTTTACTGCGATGTCAAGGCTACGATTTCACAATCGAATACAAGAAGGGTGTTGAGATGCACATATCCGACTGCCTCTCAAGGTGTGTGCCGTCGCCAGCGCCCAACCTAGGACCAGTATTCCCAGAGACCAGCCAAATCAGGATATTTGAGATCACCGCGGCAAATGAATCAGACATCCACAAGATCCGATCAACTCAAAAGAGAGATCCAGTATTCCAGGAGCTAGAATGCCTAAGCCAGGAAGGATGGCCAGAACACCATAATCAAGTATCCATGTTGGCCACAGCCAACTGGGTTTACAGACATGACATTGCAGTCATTGATGGCGAACGTTTGCTCCAGAAGCTACACCGAGTCCATCAGGGAGTGAACAAATCTATTCAAAGAGCAAGAGACACGTGGTTTTGGCCTGGCATGTCTGAACAGATCAGGAGGCTTATTCTAGCCTGCCCATCCTTTCTGGAGCCCCAACCCAGACAGAAACAAGCAGCAGTTATCCCTGTGATCACAACCAATGCTATGAAGATTCTGGGTTGTGAATTTTCCAGCATAACGGTTGATGGTACAGTTGCATAGTTGACTATCACACAGGGTACCCGTAGGTGAAGCCAATCAAGAACCAAGAAGCAGATACGGTGATAGAACATTTTCAGAGTGTCTGCAACCAGTTTGTTTACTCTACAGAGGTAGTAGGTGATCGAGGATCACAGTACACTTCCAGAGACTTCCAAGAACTCTGCTTGAAGTTCAATATAGTTCATAAGCCTGGGACACCTCACTCTCAGTGGAAGAACGGCTGCTGTGAAAATGCCATTGGGAGGCTCAAAAGGTTACTTGAGAAGTCCGAGGAAGAAGAAACGTCAATGGAAGACGTCCTTCTGAACATCTGGGATACACCATTTGATTCCAACACCCCTTCACCATTTGAGCTAATGTTTCACAGGAAGGTCAAATCAGACCTACCCTCAATACCACTCAGTCTGTTTGACAGCACCAACAGCATCAATGCAGGCCATAGAAGTGTGAAGCACACAGAAAGAGCAAATGAAAGAGAAAACAGAGGTGAACTACTTAGGCTGGAGCAAAATCCAACAGTCATGTTTATAAAGATACGTCAGGAAAAGAAGGCCTGATGGTCATGCGGGACGGTTGTTTCAGTGGACGGACAGCAATCATACACCATAGAAGACGATGCAACCGGAACACAACATTCCAGAGACCGGGTCCACATCAAGCCAATTCCCAGATATGCCCCCTACTCCACCTACGGCAAAAGTTTTTACGAAAAGAAGGGAATAAGGCGCATCAATGCCAGTGGAAATACCAAACACCAAGGCTATGGCTAGTCCACCAAAGCCAAAGCCAGAGACCCCCATGAAGCAGCAATCAGATAACGTCCAAACATCCTGACCAAGGCGTATCATTAAAGCACCAGTAGAATATGGATATGAATAAAACCTCGAAAGCGATTTTTAACTAGGAGTGACTCATAAAGGACGTGACGTTGAACAGTGCAAAATGGGCAGACTAAGAGGTTTTTTTTAAAAGCATTTTTAGTTCCAAACAGTGCTTGATATCAATCCTTGGTAATCATCAATTAGTGTATAACCTCTGCAGTTTTTGTTTTTTTATTTCGTTATATAGACTCAGACCTTAGTGGATCTTCCATCTCCTGCCGTTACTGTTATTAGGAACCAATATTTTCATGCTAACAGGAAATGTTTTTTTTAACAAGGGGGATGCCGTAGATTTCTTTGTTCTATAATTTTATGGTTACAGTATTACATAACGTACGTCTCAGGATGATACTTTGTGTAAGCATACTTCGGATATCTTTCTGGTAAAAAATAGCACGTGTTTTGGGGCTTGCAATAAAGAAGTTGGTTTTTCATGAACACACGCTTCGAATTTACCTCACAAACAGCCGCAGTTGAGCCAAAGAGTATATTTTCATGTGATTAAAAAATTTTGCACGCTGTACATTAAATGGCACACGGAAAGTCTGTTTTTCATCTGTACTTAAAAAGAGAGTTGCCATTCCGGATGGAATTTCAATGATTAGAGAATTAATAAATCCTTTGTTTAGGGAGAGACCTTAAAAAAAGTGAGGGATTATATTGGAGAAAGAAATTGTGCTATTGTTGGACAGTGATCCTTTGTAACACCTAAAATATATTTTTGCCGAAAACCTGAAGAGAACAGAGTTTCACTAATAAAAATGTCCACATGAATATTGTATTGATTCACTATGCTTTTTAGTTAAACAATATTAATAGTTACTGTATGGTGAAGGGTAAAGGCGTGTTCTTATTTTTCTCCAGACACCTTTGGAAGTTATCTCTCGGAAGGTGCACAACAACCTTCAAGAAATTGGCCGTCTGACGGAGGAAAATAGGGTAATTGATTATCATAAAATATTTGTATAAAAGTGAATTAAACAGAAGACATCATAAAGAGAGAAAAAGTAAACAGAGTCTTGAGTGGCAACTCCATTAGTAAGAACCATTAATATTGATTAAAAGTCACTTCTGAATCAGCCGATCAGAGAATGGAAGGAAGCTGAAACAAACTGTATTTTAACCAAACATTTCACAAAACAGATCCACTTGATCTTAGGGGGAACTATGTACCTCCTGAAAAGACTGATAACAGAGGGGAAGGAAGCAAACAAGCTTTAAATAATTTGAGGAAAGTTTTATCAAAAGATATATGTTTGGTGCGAATTCAATATAATACCCCAAGAAAACATCTTAATGCTGATGTTCAGTTACACGTTTTAAATTGTCAACATTTTATGCTTTATGATGCATCTCACTTTGCAATAACATCTCTAATACAACATCTTCCTCTACGCAATAAGAGGTCGTAATTGGTCAACCCCCTTTACAGTCATCGTATATTCCACAGAGATTAAAAGGTGAAGAAATAACTATTGTGCTGGAAAATTTTTCATTCCCAGTCAACTTTTGTTTACTGTATTGTTGATTTTACAGAAAGGTCAGTTAGCTGAAGTACAGGACCCAGCACCTGTGAAAAAGGTTCGGATACACCCATCAATATTTCTTTGATTTTAACCCAAAATGCCCCAATTTTAATATCCGAGAGTGGTCTTGGAGGTTTCCTCTGTGTATTATTTAATATGTTATCTACTGCGCTAGCTAATTAAGGCCACAATTTTCAATTAATTATTACTAATCGCATAACGTGATGACGTCATAAACGGAATTCACTGTATTACGACTTGCTAGTCAGAAAAACTGTGAGACACCACTGGATTTTGAACGCGACTACTCCAAGCGATGATTCAATAAAGGAGCTGTTTAAAACCGTGGACTGAGTTAATCTTCAACTGGCAAAATACTCTGACTGTCTGCTAAAACTCCAAATGTCCTTTGGTTTTTCCCCTCAAAGCAACTTGCGCAGTATTTGTGCCCA